ATCTTTTGATAATTTACATTTATCTTTATTTGCTAAATTTACTACTGCAACTAAATCCTGCACAAGCATCACGTGGATACATTTGGGTAAATAGAGAATCGTGCTAATTTAACAATCATAAGAAAAGAATATATCGTCGATACTACTTTAATACGACAAGGTTGAAGTTGAGCATAATGAGAAAGCTATATATGACATTGAAGATATATTCAATATATATATATGTGCAAAAAATGCTTGTTAAGACGACGTTTGACAACGTTTTAAAGAATTCTGCTAAAAAATAACACTCGAACGAAAATAAAATGAAGGAAACAAGCATTTAGAGAAATGTTCACTGCAAAAATAGACAACACTGCACGCAGCAGCATATGGCTGCTGCCTATAAAATACTATACCTTATACTATACGTTATACGTTTTTGTATCTTTCTCGTTAAAAAGTTGCTTTCTCTTTATCGAAGCCATTAATAGGAAATTATTAATAGACAGTATTTTTCCAGAAACAAGTCCTTTTGATATCAAGCGATATTGTCAAATATCTTCCTTTCATTAATTGCCGCAGCTACGTCTCTTTCACTAAGGCGACTTCTGCGGAACGATTGACGATACAAATTTTTTTTCTATTTGGTTTCTATATAAATTAGTGAACAAACGTTAATTTGTACTTTCACTGTGAACTTCGTTCACACCTCTTGACTCTTCATTTGAAAATTCTTACGCGTATCAGTCTCTTTCTACGCTTTAAAGAATATATTAGATATTCGTATGAAAGATTCATTTCAATAATTCGTTTCTTACGCGTTTGCTAAAATAATCAGCTAACTAATGATGGTTTAAGAGATCAACTCATCGATTAGTCTTATGGGCTGTACGGTGATTAGGCAGTAATATAGAAATTCCTCAATTCTGTGTTCTCCCCGTGTATACTTTTGGAAACGCAGAAACCATAACGAAGAGAATTGTTTCAAATCGAAACATTTTATTTCACTTACAATCGTTCCATCGAAGATCTACATAGCGTTAGTTAAAGAGATCGAAGCTAACGTGAAATATTAGCTATAACTTTGGTATCGACTGTGACGGGGGCGGCACTGTCAAATTCTGAAACTCATCGAATGACTTTTTGGCAACGTTCTGAAGATCTTCCATCCCCTGTTTCGTATAACTAAACAAGTCGTCTGTCATATCTTTCATTTCCGACTGAAATTTCTCAATGACCCATTCCACTGCTTGTCGTCCCTGGAACGAAATCGGGCAAAGAAATATTACGTTACTGTGTAAAAACCATTTCCGGACCTGAGCATCGCGAATCGTGCGCAATTCGCAAGTCCTTGCGAAATCTTTATACAAAACGAAGAAACTCGTCAATATTTAGCGAATAAACTACCGATTCTTTTCAATTTAAGACTGAGAGGTAAAGAACTCCATAACGAACTCGATTTCGAATTGTCGTTTCTGATAGAAATAAATTTACATACTACGCTAAACTTTATTAGAACGGGGAAAGGCGCAAGTGTTTACCTTTTTCGCGTTCTGGTCTATCCTCATCGTCAATAACCTCTCTAAATGGTCAATGAGTGGCACCCCTTGGATAGAAATTACCGCTTGCTGCGACAAAAGCGTAGTCTCCGGATTCTCTGGATGTGGTGCATACGTGACTACCTCATCGACCGAGACGTGCTTCCCCAAGCTTATCTGCAAGCAAAAGAAAATAACGCAAGCTGCACGTAGAACAATTTCTCGCAATTCTTGTCATTAGATGCTGAAAGTCTCTTATTTCAGTTACGTGTTCCTCGTATCCATCGCGTGTTGTACAACTCGCGGGGTTAGCAACCTTCAGATAGATGGTTAGCCAGCGTTATTGAGATAAAACGTTTCCACGAAAGTGACGCAGTGGCTTGAATAATCGATGCCACGAAATAAAGGCTGGCAACGGGCTGGTTCGCGATGGCTCTTGTGACTGAACAAAATCGGCCATTTATCCGACGTTGTGTTTTGAAGTGGTTTAAAGGTTCGTTATATACCGTTCACTGACCATTAAATGAACCGCTGGTACGTTTTGGAATTATTTAAAAGACACCGCGGCCACTCTATTCTTTTCTTTCTTTGCGAATGTAGCAACGCTTTGCAACAGCTCCGAGAGACCTTTGATCGAATTTTAACGCACACGTGCACGAATGATGGCGTAGATGCATAATAGATGCCCACGTGTATCGTTTCGTAACAACAACAGAGGTATGCAACTATTACTACGACGAGAGTGACGAAGTACCAAAACAGAAACACGTTTAACACCCTGTTTTTATCTGTTAGAAATTGTTACCGCAAACAGCAATCCAATTATAAGATAAAAGCAAAAAAAAAAAGCAATTTAGAAATTGCCACTTAAAAGCGTTGGGAGAAGAAAAACATTCATAGCGAGTAATCTAAAGATGAGAGTACGTGACAAAGAATCATAATCAAAGACGGGTCCAATGAGACATTAGCGTGTTGTACTCACGCAATCCTCGAATTCACTGTTGTCGATGATGAACACGTCTGAGGGGTAACAACGATACGCCCACCACTTGGAAAATTACATCATTATGAGCTGCATACTACTCGTTCGTAACAGCGCAACGTGAAATACTGTGGTCGCGGAACTGGAACAATTGAATCGCGGGGGTGCAATATGTTTCACGGGGGAATTAACGCCCGCGGCATATTGTGGATCCACGTTGATCGAGATAGAGAGACGCGGCGGTCCTCTATACGCCATCGCCATATTGGCAATCAGTGAAGTCAACTGTGTTACATAGCTCTCAACTATCCAGCCACTGCCGCGCTTCGTAGTCTCTCCAACGCCCAATCTTGCGGCGCCATCGCCCCCGTACAATTGCACGAGATCAAAAAATTAACGCCTCGCTTCAACTAGCGTTTCGTCAATTACGCGGACCGAGATTTAGGGAAAATACGGATGGTTTAATTCGTCAGCCATCGGGGAAACCGCTATTCAGATGCATTCAACGCTGTCGAATACAGTTCTTTGTTCCTGCCATCGATGAAACCTCTATTGACGTTACACAAGCGCATTACGTCTGCTTGTCTCGATTGGATTTTGCTCTCTTTTTATACCTCTCTCGTTATTTACTCGAAAATACGAGCGATTGTACGAACAAAAGAAGCAAGTATCGAGAATAATTTTTCCTTTTTCAATCTTGATAAAAGTTACTTGGAAAAACACGAGGGAGCCTTCAGATATTGAACACGCAGACCTACAATTTTCAACCAAGCTGGCAGTAATTTTCTCGTGGAAACTACGTCAACGGTGTAAATAGAATTCTTTTCATCGCGGGTAATTAACACTTGGCGCCTCTTATCATTTAAACGTTTCGAGAACATTGGTTCGGAGGCTCGTATTCAGGCTTGTATGGGGAATAAAGAAGAAAGACGAAAAACGAGGAGAAGAAGAAGAGAAAGGAGAAGAAAAAGAAAACGGAGAGTAAGCTGTAATTAGAGGGACGGATGGTTTCATTGTAGCTTCCGTAACGAGCGACTCTGGACGTGATAAGGGCGCGATCTTAAGCACGATAACGAGAACGTGTTTTCTAGCTTCGCGCGAACTGCAATCACAACGATATATATATATATATATCTTTTCGTTTCAGCTATTTAACTCAAAATTCTATTCAGTGTTGATTCACTGCGTGATCAAACATTAATGATAAATTTACAATAGTTGTTATCATAGTTGCGTAATAACTTCTTCACGACCGTATCGTTAAGTTTCACTTTAAAATAGAAATTTGGTGGGGAAATAAAAGACCGCCTCGCTCAACTTTCGCAAGTACCTTCGAAATACTCTACTCTTTCTTCAACGTCGCGATAAATCCCTTTTCCAGGGGGAGACATCGGAAGAAGAACTTTGCCCGCGAGATAGCCACCCCGTCCCTTCTCTTCCGTCACGAGGTAATCATTTTTCGTTGTGTGTCGTCAGCGATCCAAAAAAGAGCAACGAAAGTGGTGCGTTAGTATCGTCGCGAATAAAACTAAAAAGAAAGAGGCACGTGGAAAAGGTAAACGCCTGGCGCGCGATTTAATCCTATCAAGCGGACGATCGATCCCTCTTCCGGTCCTGGCGTCAACGACGAAGTAATTAATTTTCACTTTTTTTTTTTTTTTCGACCAGGCTGTAGAGAGTACGAAAAGCGTACATCGTCGGTCCTGTCTCCCCTCCCCCGCGTCCGATCTAGTGCATCGGTTAATTGAAATTTTTTTCATCAGCCGCGCGTCGAAACCGATGTTTGCCAATCCTTCGGACTCCGCAGCAAGCACGGCGTTTGCTTTTCATTTACCGCAGCATTGCGGCATAGTCACGTTTAGCAGCGCAGTTAGGGTGAAAGTCGTTAACTAAAATCAAGATCACGGTATGAAGAAAGGCCGCGGTACGTGAAGCCGCAAAATTCAACGTAATCCTAATCACACACACACCGAACCTCCTAGCTTCTTATTAAATAACTTTTTCAAATTCCTTGATTTGCTCAAATCCATCTGACCTAGAA